GTGCTGTCGGTGCCTCCTATTGCTCTGGCTGCTGCCTAGGCATGTGTCGCGTGCCTCTTAGTTGTGTCGGTGCTCCTAGTGATGTCGCGTGCTTTCTAGTGTGTCAGTCGACAGTAGGTGCTCCCTTCATGGCAAACGTATGATAGCTAGTGTGTTCAAAAGAGGGGCTACTAACACATGAAATGATCACTTCGGTTGATCTCCTATTCCTAAGATAGTCGTGCGGTCCTCGGGCTACTCACAGTGTGTTCGCGCTCGCCTCCCTATAGGTTATAATGATCTCCACTGTAAGGCCTTCCAATTGTATCGGTTAATCTGCCTACTCATGAGATGTCGCTAGCATGCCGTGATGGCGTAGACTACAATTCTCTGCTACTCGATCGGTCTCCCGGTTCCTCATTAGGTATGATCTATCTCCGTGCTTCTCTTACGTGTGTCTCCCTCTGGTAGCTATCCGTTGTATCTGACTGGTGTGTCGCGTGCTCCTGGCTGCTCTGGTGCTCCCTAGTTGTGTCGCGTGCTCCGTGCGTGTCCTTAGCTGTGTCAAGGTGCTCCTGGTGTTCCTAGTGTGTCGGCGTGCTCCTGGATCTCTCCTAGTGTGTGTCCGGTGCTACCTAGATGTGTCGGTGATCTGCGGCTGTACCTACGTGTGATCGCCCGTGTCCTGCGTGCTCCCTATGTGCTGATCCGAGTGCTGTCTAGATGCTGTCGGTGCTCCTAAGTGTGTCGGTGCTAGCTGGTGATCCTTGCTGGTCGTCGGTGCTCCGGCTACTCTAGTTAGGTGTAGAGTGCCTCCCTAGTGTGTCGGTGGCTCCCGGTTGACTCCTAGCTCGTATTCCGGTGCTCCTGGTGCTCTAGACTGTGACGCGTGCTGCCTAGTGTAGTCGGTGCTCCTGAGCTGTCCTATATGTGTTCCGGTTGTACTGGTGACTCCTAGAATGTGTCGGTGCTCCCGGTGCTCTAGTGGTGTCAGGTTGGCTCCTAGTCTGTGATCGCCAACGTTGTGGTAGTCGAAGCTCGCACCCGAGTCGAGTCCGAGTCCAGGCAACCCCGAGTCCGATGCGTCGAAGTCGAGGTTCGAGTCCCGGCCACCGGAGTCCCGAGTCCAACCAACCCGAGTACCGACCGAGTCCGGAGACGCAGTCAGGTTTTGATAATTAAAAAAAGAGGGGCACAGACCGAAAAGGCATTCACTTACTATGTATGTGGTTAGGTTCATAAATAGCAACCGCGGAGCGGCAACAACAACAACAACAACAAATAAATAAATAAATAAATAACAACCACTAATAACAACAGACGCCTAGATGTGATTCATGGCAACTTCTCACAAACGTAACTTCCTGGAAATGTACCAGGAAAAGCAAGTCTATCATAAGTGGTCAATGCAAACATGTAGTTTTCGCCATTGATCTCAGGAAGTTGGTTTGTTTTCCACGGAATAGGTGCACACATGTCTACCTGTCTTCCTGTAGCAGCCCACACCCACTGCGTGTTCACTGCGATGTTGTTGCCACCGGTCCACCAGTGTATTGGATCTTGAGGCGTCAAGAAATCGGTTTCTCCCGGTGATTCCAGACTGACGAGGTCAGCTCCCATGCTGGTGCAGTTGTCACGTGCCTCTTGCCAAGTCGCCATGTTGAGTGTCTCAATGTAGTAACAATTTCCACGGAATTCAACGAAGTCTGCAGGGCATAGTCCGCTGTTTACTGAAACAAGGTTACCGATGTTAGTGATTCCTCAGGGAGTAATTGTCCGGAATTGATTGTCCAGGGATAACTGATATCGTTATGTTAAATCAAAGCAGCAAAATGACAAATAAATATGGAATTTTAACAAAACTACAACCGAAGTTGAACAGTTTGTTTATAGGTTGTAGAGGTAAAAACAACTATTTAAGTTCGAGTTACGGATATTTTTAATTCCTGAAACCGTTCACTCACGCACCTAAAAATAGTCACAGTGCAATTGAGATATGATTACTAACCTTTCGTATAGAAGTCGTAGTTGTTATCGGGGACAATTGCAGCGCCGACGTCAGTGTCTGCGTAGGCGCTCAACTCACAGCGTTTATCGGTTGCCGCGGTGTTCTCTGTGTTATAACCGGTGCAGCCCGGGGTGCGGTCGCAAAAGAATGCACACTGAGGCATCCTTCTGACCATCATCGTCTCAAGAAGACAACCTCTCACAGCTTCTCCCTTTAATTGGAGTTGATATCTTGCCGCGTTTGTACCGCTTGTCGTGCATAATAAAATAATAAACGCGACGAAAGTAACGTGAGATTTTAACTCACTGATGATCTTTAGATCACGCAGTAAGAGCAAACTCCTGAAGCTACCGGTCATTGTGCGCATATTACAAATGTTCACGCCTGTTTTTGTTGATTTTCCTGTGATAGTATAGATGAGCTCGTTAGATATCCGTCAGGAGAGAGACAGAGATGACTGTGAAATGTCAGCAACAAGCGGTCCTACACTGTGCTGCTGTCGATTCAAGCATATAGGCCCTATATATATATATGATATGATGACGCCGCAGTATTCTGTCGGTGGAGGATACAACATCTGGCACGAATTTTTTTCACGTATCCGTCACAAATGATGTCAACGTACCATGTTCATGCGACATTTATCGATCGTGATTCATTCTCAATTAGAACAACTTTACCCAAATAATTTAAACTAATCATTGCCGTTAACGCGTATATAATGTATTTAAGTAGTGAGTCTGGTAAATGATAAAGATCCGTGTTTAAAATAAAGCGTGATTGCCGAAACACTAGCAAGGTGAATCAGTCGGATGTTCAATGACATAATGAATGTCATTGTATCGATCTATGCGGAACGATTCAAACCTATAATACAAGAGAGATGTGTGAGAAGAGAGATCTGACAACGCTCTCCCGTCGGTAAACTCCTCACACTGACCATATTCTACTGATACCATTTTCTAGAGCCCTTCTGCCATTATTTAAAAACATATTCCACAAATTTCCAAACCACATTTTGCATAGATTTAGAAATTATCTAGAATGAGCAGAACACAAAACAGGATCACAACAAGAACCGTACATGCTCTACATGTAATGTTAGCACTATAACAGTGATAGATTACGACATTAAGAAAACACGAATATCACAGATAATCTAAACATTACAATGAGAGTTGTAAATAATGAACAATTTCACAATAAACAAAATTAAATAAACGTATGGCTAATTTTGGTAGTAGGCATGGGTATGGAGTCTGGAAAAAATACAGGCAATGTGAACCATTCAATAAGAGGAGATCTTAGCACGGAAAACATAGCACGGAGAATTCTAGTTAATATTAACACCAAAAGACGCGTATAATAAAATACCTAAATAAATTTTAGGGTAATAAATTTTACCTAGGTAATCACCTAGGTAATCACCTAGGTAATCACCTCACATCCCCCGGCGTTAGTTATAAGAATATTGTAATACTTAAAGGGAGATTTCCTCGAACTTTCCACGTAAATTTATGTAACAAATCACTGTAAAAACGTCAGTAAATAACTCACTACACTTTAACTGAACGTTAGCTTTGAAAATAAAACTATAAAAATATCTATCAAGCCTATATTTGCTCATCGAAGAAACAACTCGAAAAACGCTTTTCGCCGCGGTTCCGTAGGCGCCATACTGTTTATATTTGAGCAACCATCATTTCAATCGAGTCAATGTAGCCACTTTCAGATATCATAACTTTTAATACATTTTTACCGTAACCGTTTTCGATATAGAACGTGCTAAAAACCCAACATAACGTAATCCGAACTAACAGCGACCTGACAGAACTCTCGACTCACTCACTCGTTAACTCGCTCAGATTACTATAATCACCCAGCAACAAAAACGTTGCCCTTTCCCTATCAGCTATAGCCATGTACGTGACCAGAAAAACAATTGGTTCATAACATAATTTTACATAGCATGGTTCATACATACATAACACGGCAAGTGGGCGGAGCGGAACAATCGCCGCATAGCGGTAACGGTAAACGCGTTTGAAACATTCGACCCAAACGTTTCACTTTGTAGTCTAAAAGCTTTGAATGAACGTATTCCTGAGCAATTTTTTTCACCAATTTAAATTAATTCATTTTTGCCTGATATGTTTTCCGCTTGAAAGTTGAGGGA